CCGGACACACCCCGGCCCTTTGGCCCCCGCTGAGCGTGGGCAGGACCCTCGCGGCCACGCCAGGAGGCCAAGCTGCCCCTGGTTCTGGCAGGAGGGGAGGTGGGCGCCTCCAGCCGGGCCCTCGCCTTTCACGTGTTAGCCCAGCCGTGCATCTCCGCACGGGGCCTGCGTGCCCTGAGGACGTGGCTGAGTCAGACGGGTCCATGCAGTCCTGCGTCTCAGCTTCCACACAGAAAACGCTGGCTAGAATGCTGTGCGAGCGCCCTTCGCAGTGTTTCATGGATGACCTAAAAAAGTGATTCCAGGTATAAGTCACATGGACTTTCAAGGCATCTGCTGCTTGAAATAAGCCGGGGCCTCCATCCACGCAGACCCGGGAGGCCGGCCCCCTGAGCGGCTCCCCTCGGCGACAGCCTCACCCGCGGGAGAGCCACGGCTTTTTCAAATCCTAAGAAAACGGTGTGACAAGGTCTTCCCTTCAGCGTCCCTGCTGAGTCTCGCTGCTGTGACCGTGATGCTGACGACATGCCTTTCTGTGCCTGACGCTGACGACATGCCTTTCTGTGCCTGACGCCGCCACCCTGCTCCCGGCAGGGCCTTTAGAGGCCTCGGCCCTGGACCAGGCGAATCCGTTCCATCCCAGCTCTATTAGCAGCCGAGGCAGGCCTCGAGTGAAGGAGCAACCTGCTACTGTGGAGATTCTCTTACTTACAAAAGGGAATCCATGACTTCACCAGGCGCCGGTGTTCTGAGCCCCACGTAGCTGAGAACAGGAAATCCCAGCAATCGTGGGGGGATGATTTTTTTTTTAAAGATTTATTTATTTATGCATACAAGCCAGAGGCATGCAGGGTGAGAGGATTCACCAGAGACAGAGTGGGGAGCAGAACAGGCAGAAGGACCAAAGTACACTGCTGAGAGGAGCAGCGGGGAGACAGGAGAGGTCTGCGCGCCATGTGGGTCACCTCCCTGGCCAGGGATCGAACTCGTGCTGCAGTGGCTGCAGATTGCTTCATAGGTTGTGTCTTAACCCCTTGCGCCACCAAGGAGGCCCCGTGGGGAATGATTTTTGTGTAAACGCCCTCCAGGCAGTCCCGTGAGCCCACAACTTATTTCTCTTTGCAATTTTATCAAAAGAGACAAACATGAACCATGTCCAGAGCTTTCATTTAACCAACCCTGAGCAGCTTCCCGGAGGTCCTGGGAGCGCCGGTCCTTGCTCCGGGAGCCACCACGCCTAGGCCGTGTGGGGTAGCACCTGCCGTCCAAAGCGGAAGAGTGCTCCGTGCGGGGGCCGTCTGCTGCCCAGGCCCTCGGCCACGTAGACGCCCGCAGGCAGCAGGCAAGGCCGAGCTCCACCCGGAGGCCTGGCAGCCACAGCCCAGGGATAAGAACAGCCCCTGGGCGAGCGCTCCCTTGTGAAGGTACCGGCTCATGGGTCCTTCAGTACAGCTGTGAAAGGGAGTGGGGGGGAAGGCAGAGGCTGCTGGGGACAGCTGTCGGTGGGGGTGGGGGGCGCCTGTGTGCGGGGGCCCGCAGCGGCTCAGAACCTGCGGGCACCTGGGGTGAGGGCGAGAGAGGACAGCCCAAACTTGACTGGCCCTGGCGTCTGCCAGGAGGGCACCTCAGCGGAGCCGGGGCCTGCGCACAGCTGTGTCCGTCCCTGACGCGTCCTCTCGACGGCGCCGGTGCTGGGCAGCAGATCTTTCAAGAGCCCCTCGACCAAAGTGGGGGTCACGCCGGCTACACCCCAAATGTCCGTTCCCAGAGGAGGTCAGGGCCGCCCCAGGGCCCCCGCACCTCCAGGGAGCCCTTCACCCAGGCAGTGGGGCCACCCCGGCTGACCCAGGGCCCTGTGAGCCTGCCCTCAAGCGTGAGGCCCCAGGTGCAGCGAAAGCAGAGGCAGCGGAGCCCCTGGCCTGGGCAGCTGGTGATGTGGGACACACGTCATCTGAATGACAGGGTGGGGGGTCCTGAGCGCCCACTGCCAAGCGCTGTCCCCTCCAGCAGGTGGCTCCCCCAGGACCCCAGCCAGGGCTCTGGGGAAGGGCTCAGGGCCTGGAGATGTTGCTCGGCCCCTCGCCCGCTGCAGACACAGGCAAGAGAACGTGCTTGCAGCTGGGTCACACTGACCAGCCCGGGCCAATCCCGCCCTCTCTTGTTCTGCTCATTTTTAGTCAAGACACTTGCTGTGCGAGCCCTAAATATAGTCTTCACGAGCCCGCGCCTTGGCTTCCCGGGGGAGGTCACAGAACACAGGAACGTTCCCCCACGCAGCGGATGCCTGCGTCGCTCTCTGGCACCTGCCAAGTTTTAAAACACTCAGAATGTTAAAAAAGGAAAGACTTTTTAATTCCATACAGAAAGGCTTCGCTCGTTCAGCGGACGCTAAGCTCACTCGTAGGCGCCTGGGATGTGGGAGTGAGCCAGAGGGATGCTGACGCTGCCCTGGGCCCTGCCTGGCTCTGGGCCTCGCACGGGGCGGGGACTGGGCCCAGGGCAGCCTCAGCTGGGCCACGTGGGGACGAAGAACCAAGCGTCCCTCGGAGCCATCCAACAGGAGCAGCAGCTGCGGCAGCTGTCAGAGCTCAGGCTCGGGGCCCAGCGCCAGGCTGCCCCGAGGCCCTGGACGCGTCTCTGAGAGAGCGACGGGCACACGGAGCGCCACCTTCTAGGGCTGCCGCTGGGCCACCGGGCGCGCGTCCTCAGGCCGTGTGGCCCCAGCCCTCGGTGGGAGGCCTCCTGACGGCCGGCGGAGGCTGGGCCCGGCGTGTGCGGAGTCCATAGGAGCGCTGTCTCGTCACGCTTCTGCTGTCTGCGAGGCTGCACGGGCGCCACCCTTGCAAATACCAGCCTCCAAGGCCCTGGAGCCCATTGCGCTCACGTCAGCTCCAAGGGGGGCTCAGCCGCTGCAGATGCGCCTACTTGAGGTGCCTGAGGCTCCCCCCGTCAGGAAACGCAGACTTAACCTCATCGCCTGTCTTAGACAGACCCACTCGCTTCCCTCGGGCTGAGGAACCACCTATTTTATGGACTTCTTAGAGCATCTCGCCCACTCAGCATCAAGTCTCCACGTCACAAGTAACTCTGAAGCTGCCTTCTGTCTTTTCCAGGGTTTGGAGGCACGGAGCTGAGGTGTGCAGACAAGGACACAAATGTCACTTCGCAGGTACTCTGTGCAGGAAGATCACACGACGACGTGAAGCTGGATGACGTCACGCTCTGCCCGAGGCAGTAGCCTCGCGGGTCACAGAGCACAACCGAGCTCGTGGGAGTCGGGCGGACCCCCTCTGGTTCTGTCCAGAGCGCCTGCGCCGGCTCATGACTCCCGCATGCGTATGTTAATCAGTAATTTTCATGTTCAGCCAGCTGGGAGCTTGATTATGAACTAGCTGGTGCGCCTGTTCCCCTTTGCAGCGTTACACGACAGACATGAAAACCCGCGGAATGAGTTCTACAACGGTCATCAGATGTGTGTTGACCACCCGTCACCCCCTACACCCCGTTCTAAGATGTGGATCACTGTGTAAAACCTAACAGCTGCTTGAGCGCTGGACCCTACAGCTGGCCCCCCTTTCCTGCTGTCAAGGTTTGGGGGTGACTTTTAGCTAGGAGGAGAGGCTCCAGGGAAAGGCCCCCAGATATACAACGCTTCACTGAACTCATGGACAACGAGCTCCAAGTGAAACCCCAGCTCATAAGCCCCCCACACCCCAAGCCCTCCTGCCAGCCCTGAGCCCCTGCCCACAGTGCACCCCACAGGGGCCTCGCAGCCACTGCAGGGGCACCAAGAAGAGGGGCAGGGACACGGCACCCTGTCCCAACACAGCCCTGGCTGGACGATGTGACCAGCGTGTCCGGCACATCTACACAGCCCCCCGCTGTCCGGTTGGATCCCAGATGGGTGCTAAAGGGTTAAAATAGGATCGAACTGGTCCCATTTGATTAACAAGCTTTTGTTTCTCCTCATTCCATCTCTTTATTATTCTAGAAAACGACTCCTGCAACTTCAACTCTCGATACTAATCACATTTTGCATTTTATGTGTTAGTCCTGGTTCCTTCAGCCTCTCTGAGAAAACACTTTCCCTCGCAGCAAGCACCACAGCTACTTCTCTGGGTGCCAGTCACAAGCCTCGCAGCCAAAACACAGTGTCGGGGAGCCCGGAGCCACCATCCAGATGCCATAGCTTAGGGGCCAGCAGGGCTGGGCGTGGCTGCCCAGACCAGCTCCTGCAGGAGGAGCACCGCGCAGGGAAAGCGTTTCTCTGCCTTATTTTTAGGAGAATGAGCTGCAGTGATGACCCCACCCTCGTCCACGCTTACCCTCACTGTGGCAGGGTGTTTTATGGCACTTTGGGCTCCCCGGGTGCTAGGACACGGGCTGCATCGCGGGTTGCTGCAGAGGCGTGAAGGCCGCGGAATCAACACAGCGCAAACTGGGTCAAGCTGCAGCTGCCCACAGAGCTGCCCCGCGGAGGGGGTGGGGCTGGCCCAGCAGATGCCAGGAGGAAGCCGCCTCCCCCGCTCACCAGGCTGGGCCACCAGGTGTTCTCACACTGCCTAGACCGTGAGGTCTGCAGAATTCCCTCTCGCTCTGACCACTCTGCGTCCCACAACCCCAGTTCCCGCTGCGCACCCGCGGGAGCCCGTCTTCCCTAGAGGAGCACAGCTCCCTTCGCGGCGGGGGAGGCTTCACACCTGCCACACAGCAGGCTCCTCTGACTGAGTCGACCATCTCGCTTCTGGGGATGAACACCCGCGTGGGGTCACTGGGCTGATGGGAGCTCTGATTTGGGCTTCTGGAGGAAGGCCAGGCCTCTCTCTAGAGGGGCGGCATTGCTTCGCACCCTGCCCTGCCACGGTGGGGACGCCTCCTCCCCACATCCTCGCCATTAACAGCCCTCTCGATGGAAACCATACTGGGGGGAGTGGGGTCTCACTTCCCTGCCAGGACGATGTGACCACACATGTCTCCCTGCGTGCCAGTGGGTCACTCACGTGCTCTTGGAAGCTTGTCCTTCAGACCTCCGCCCGCTGCGTGACTGGTCCTCTGGGTCTGCCCCTCGTTCAGTTGGGCAGGCTCTGTGCACAGTAGCTGGCAGGACTTTTCTCAGAGCTGTGAGGAAACTCAAGATGATAACACAATCTCAACACCTGCATTTCCGAAACAGAACCCCCCAAGGAAAGGCAAGACATGACATTATTTTAGCTTTGTCGGGTCACAGGAGAAATGGGAGCCGCCCCAGAAGGTGGCGATCAGCTCAACCTTGGGCATCTGCAAAGGCGCATCGCAGGCACCCTCACACATCTGGAGCACCCAAGGGCCCAGGCTCAGGCGGCTCGTGGGCCACTCAAGCTCCTGCCCTTGGGGCTCTGACAGGCACTGCCAGGAAAGGCTGGGGCGGGAGTGGAACCAGAGGCCACCCCTCAGGGGTGCAGAAGGTGAACACCCTCAGCTTGTTTGGGGGCACAAAGCACTATCTTCCCTGGAACTATCTCTCATAAAACACGAGGCCTGCAGTCACGTGGGGGCGCAAGCTTTCAGGCCCCAGGGAAAGCGATGGGAGCATATTCCAAGTGCGTGGTGCTGCATCACGCAGCGGATGTGAACTCGTGGTGAGACCCTCCATTCCCGGCGGAGGACAGCACACAGCACAGCGGGGTGACCCTCAAGCCTCTCCGTGTGGGTGCTGTAGAATAACTCAGAGGCGGTGACGTGACATGAGACTGGCCGGAGTGAAGTCTGGAGGCTCCACGGTGCTCCAAGGTGCTCACTGCACTGTTTCCACATCTTCCTATGTTAGAAATTTCTCCTAACAAGAAATGGGCTGTTTTGTTTTGTTTTGTTTGTTTACAGAAACTATCGGGCTCAGTACTTAAAATGAAAACTAAGATGAGGAGAGCTTTGTGATCAGCAGCACAGGCGAGGCCACAGTTTCAGGTTCCAAAGTTATTGACAGGCTGAACAATGGGCTGAAGGAACAAAGGAAAAGCATATAATGGGGCTGCGAGTCAAAGAAATAGCGGCATGCACGCAGGAAGACGTGAGGCTGTCTCTGCTGGCAGGTGACACGACTGTCTGTGCACAGAATCTCATGGCTTTGAACAGCTCTGAGGCTTGTCAGCAGGTGCGGTGCAGGGGCACTGCCCACCCAGAGGCTCTGAGAGGGGTCAGGGCCGTCAGGCCATAGTTCCTCTGAGGCGCCTAACGTAGCGTCAGCTCGGCCCACCTCCCCCAAACGGGCTCTGGACAGGCTACGGGCCTCAGGCTACAGGCTACATATGCCAAGTCTGTTCCAGACAACGTGCTGAACATCTCCCGGGAGGTCTTCCATCCTCTCCTGGAGGTAAGAAACAGACGTGATCCCCAAAACAGTGCTGGCAGCTGTGCTTTGTGGAGGACGGGAGATGCCCCTCGGGACAGGGGTCTCTCAGGGTTCAGGGGCTCCCTGTGATTGCCCCCTCCCGGGACAGGTTCTTAGCACAGGTCTCCAGCTCCAGAAAAGCTAGAATTCAAACTCTGAAGTACAGCTTCCTCTGAAAGCCATCGTGTTTGCACCACCAATGGCAGAAACACCATTAAGAGGAGACCCTAGAAGCCGGGAGAGCTGGTACTAGGAGTGAGTTATCAGAAACTTCGGGCTATCAGAGGCAGCCACTTGGGTTTGAGCTCAATCAGCCAGAAGAGGCTCCACAGAGACCAGAGTGAGCAGCACCCCGGCCTACTCCCATCTCCCCCTCATTCCTGACAAGGATTCTCTTTGCCCAAACCCACCCACAGGCCTTGGAGTAGGCCCCAGAGCACCCCCAAGATATGAGGACCTGTGAACAGTACGGTGATGGTGGAGCAACACAGAGAAGGTGGCCGCACACTAGCTGACTTTGGTCACTGGCCCTGGGCTCCTCACTCACGAGATGTCACATTTCAAGCCTGGTAGCTCTGTTCCTTGGATAACTTCTTCCTCGCCCCTTGCTCTCTGAGCTCTTCACCTTCTCTTTCTGCAACATTTCACCTCATTATCCTCAGCAAACCACACGCCTCTCGAGGGCACGTCCGCACCCGCCCAGGAGCGCGACCGGGAGGAGCGAGGAGAAGCTGAGTTCTGAGTCCAGTCGCATGCACACAACGTCTGCTGTCACAGCGGTCACCCTGCGCTAGGTTGTGGGGCCTCGAAGAGAAAGGTCCTTGGTAGCATTTACTGATTTTACAGACTTTGGTTTTGCTGTGGTGGCCTCACTGGTACAGACAAGAACTCAGGGGAGTTGTTTGGACTTTTGCATTAGGACGAGGAAGGATATGCATTCTCTTTATTGACTTAAAATGTACCAAACACTAAAACATTTAGCTCTTTAATAAAGAGATAACAGGCAGTAAAGACTAAGGAACTGTGGCGTTTACACCTAATTTGAAACACACTTAGCTTTTCAGAAAAGACCCTGACGGGATTCTGGGTTTCAGCTCAGGCAATATGGCACAGCTCAGGGGCTCCGGCCTTGGCATTGTTTTTCCAGGCGCTCTGGCTTCTCAGTGTGGTCCTGCTGAGACCGCAGGCTGCAGGGCGTGAGCGGGCGACTCAAGGCTGCCCTTCTAACTGCCCCCCCCCCCTCGACGGCAGGCGCATTTTTACCTCTGAACGTCGCATCCTCACTGGTAAAAACACTCCGTCAATTAGCGAGAAAACGCGCGGGCTCTCCGGAGCCGCAGGAGGCCTCTGCGAGCGCGGGCCCGGGGCCGCAGGGTCACAGCCTAAGGGGGTTCCCGAAGCCAGAAGACCTCGCTGCAGGGATGCGGTTCAGGGGTCTGTGGGGGCGGAGCGAGGGGCTCCGACCTGGACAGACGGGAGGACAGCAGACCCCGCCGCGGGGAGGCCGCGAGCTCGTGGCCAGCCTGGGGCCCGCGCTCCAGAGACGGCAGCGAATTGATGCAGGCCCCGGGGGCGCGCCGGTGCTGACTGAAGCCGGGAGGGGTCAAAGGGGCATAACGGGGGTGACGGGCCCCGCCCCACGCGCCTGGCTCCCGCGGCCGCGCTCTTCCCGGGTCTGAGGGAAAGCTCCGTCCCTCAGCGCGCCTGCGCCGCCCGCGCGACCGCGAAGGCGCCGGCGCTGCCACAGTGACGCGCGCCCCCCGCCGCGAGGCCTGTGGGCGCTGAGGGGCCGCGCTGAGGTGTCGTCCTGAGGGGCTCACCCTGAGGGGCCGCGCTGAGGTGGCCGCGCTGAGGTGCTGGGCCGGAGGGGCCGCGCTGAGGTGTCGTCCTGAGGGCCGCGCTGAGGTGTGGTCCCTGAGGGGCCCGCCGAGGGCCCGCCCGGCTGCCCGTCCCCCTCAGCTGAGGGGCCTGTCGCCCGCTGTGTCGCCGGAGGCCGTGGCGGGAGGCCCGGGGCTCGCGGTGTCCGCCTCGCGCCCGCCGGCTCAGAGCTGCCCCGCCTCGCCCGCCGCCGCCCGCCTGCCAGACCCTCCCCGTGGCCGTCGTGTCCCCGGGGCGTCACGCGCGCCCGGAGCTGCCGGTGAGGGGGCGGGGGTCTTGGGGAACGGGGCGTCTGGGGGAGGGGAAGGGGCCACCGGGCCGCGCCTCTACGCCTGCATCTGAGAGACTCGTTCTCAGGGGGCGGGCGACCCACCCGGACACGGGCTGGGGCTGTGCAGGGACCCGCCGCCGGGGTGGGCCCGCGGCCTCCGCCCCTCCCCTGACCCGAGCGGGGGCGGGGGCGAGGGGGGCGGGGGTTTGGGGGGTTTGGGGGGTTTGGGGGGGCCGTGCTCCGTGGTGGACGCTCGCGGGAGCTCTCTGGTGGCCGCGTGGCTCTCGGGGGACTCCGCAAGATTAGCCGAGGGTGACAATGAAGATCGGCGGTGCCGGGGGCGGCTGTGGCACATGCCACAGGCTCATGGTAATACGGGAAAAGCACACCCGGCAGGCTGACTGACCCCCGCAGGCTGACTGACCCCCGCAGGCTGACTGACCTCACAGGCTGACTGACCCACAGGCTGACTGACCCCCGCAGGCTGACTGACCCCGCAGGCTGACTGACCCCCGCAGGCTGACTGACCCCGCAGGCTGACTGACCCCACAGGCTGACTGACCCGCAGGCTGACTGACCCCCGCAGGCTGACTGACCCCCGCAGGCTGACTGACCCCGCAGGCTGACTGACCCCCGCAGGCTGACTGACCCCGCAGGCTGACTGACCCCGCAGGCTGACTGACCCCGCAGGCTGACTGACCCCGCAGGCTGACTGACCCCCGCAGGCTGACTGACCCCGCAGGCTGACTGACCCCCGCAGGCTGACTGACCCCGCAGGCTGACTGACCCCGCAGGCTGACTGACCCCACAGGCTGACTGACCCCGCAGGCTGACTGACCCCGCAGGCTGACTGACCCCCGCAGGCTGACTGACCCCGCAGGCTGACTGACCCCCGCAGGCTGACTGACCCCCGCAGGCTGACTGACCCCGCAGGCTGACTGACCCCGCAGGCTGACTGACCCCCGCAGGCTGACTGACCCCCGCAGGCTGACTGACCCCGCAGGCTGACTGACCCCCGCAGGCTGACTGACCCCGCAGGCTGACTGACCCCCGCAGGCTGACTGACCCCGCAGGCTGACTGACCCCACAGGCTGACTGACCCGCAGGCTGACTGACCCCCGCAGGCTGACTGACCCCGCAGGCTGACTGACCCCCGCAGGCTGACTGACCCCGCAGGCTGACTGACCCCCGCAGGCTGACTGACCCCGCAGGCTGACTGACCCCGCAGGCTGACTGACCCCCGCAGGCTGACTGACCCCGCAGGCTGACTGACCCCGCAGGCTGACTGACCCCCGCAGGCTGACTGACCCCGCAGGCTGACTGACCCCCGCAGGCTGACTGACCCCCGCAGGCTGACTGACCCCGCAGGCTGACTGACCCCGCAGGCTGACTGACCCCCGCAGGCTGACTGACCCCCGCAGGCTGACTGACCCCCGCAGGCTGACTGACCCCGCAGGCTGACTGACCCCCGCAGGCTGACTGACCCCGCAGGCTGACAGACGCTGCAGGCTGACTGACCCCCGCAGGCTGACTGACCCCGCAGGCTGACAGACGCTGCAGGCTGAAGGCCTCTGCCGGCTTCCAAGCCTCCCAGCGATGGCAACAGGGTCAGCAGCCCGGCAGTGCCACCCGGGCCTCTGAGGAGTGGCAGGTGTGGGGCGCAGAGGCACCCAGGACCTGGCCTGGCGCTGGTCGGAGTCCCACGGCTGGGCGCGGCAGGACCGCCCGGGGCTGTGGCCCACCCTGGCGGGATGGGGTGCTCCGAAGACTGAAGTGGGTGGTGGCTTGGAGTCTCCCTCTTGCCTCTGGCCGTGGGGACTGTTCCTGTTACAGTCACCTTCCTCCGTGGGGCGGCCTGGCGGGCCGGGCAGCTGCTGGCCAGTGCGGACGGAGCAGCCTGCCCTCCCAGCACTGCCCTCCCGGCAGGCTCCCAGCCTGGGCTTCAAACACATCCCCATTGGCTCTTTGCGATGGGCTTTCCTCCCGTTGGTACAGCAGATGAGCAGCTGCGGCTCCAATGTCAAGCGACGCCCGTGTCCCAGGTGGTTGGCGGAGCAGGGCGCGGAGGGCTGAGTCACACCCGTGTGACAGGTCACCTCCGGGGGCGTGTGGTCGCGGCCCTTCCCCAGGGCCGGGGCCTCTGCCCTGTCCCCGGCCGTGGTCCGGGCCAGGTGCAGGCCAGCGTGGACCCTGCTTTTCTCTTCCCAAGGGAAGGGACTTTTCTCCTGCTCGGAGCCTCCTTTTAAAAGCACCTGCCCCAGGAGCTTCTCTGAGCTCTTTCTCACCTGCTGCAGTCCCTGTCCAGGTCCCCATGCCTCGTTGCAGAGTCCTCTTCCTCGCCGCTCGTTTCCTCAGTCTGTCACCTGAGTGTCAGGAGCCTCCTTATCCTGCCGTGTGGGTGAGAGGGTGCATCTGTGTCTCCGCTGCAGTGCAGGTGCAGGCTGGCCGCCTGTCCTCATGCTCCTGGGCCTGTTCACCCTGCAGCCCCTCAGCGTTTGCCAAGAGCCAGCCTATCACCATCTCAGGTGCCCTCAGAGTGGTCTCTCAGCTTTAACATCGTCGACCAAGCGAGGGCTCATGGTCATACGGGAAAAGCACCTCCGTCAAGGTCTCAGAGTGGTGGGTGTTGCTTAAGCTCAGCCTGTCTGGTTCTACAGCCTGGGCTCTGTTTAACCTGCTTGTCTTACTGCTTCCCCAGGGGACACTGAACTCTGGAATCAAGGCCTGTTTGGAATCTGTTCAGCTCCTGTTTGCACCGTGGACTTGATCTGGCGCCTCCTCAGAGCCACACGCTCCCTGCTTCCCGGGACCAGCAGTTGGTTCTCTGTTGAAGGAGGTCATCCGGACAACGTGCTGCAGGGTGACCCTGAGCTGGGCCTGGGCAGATGGAGGTGCTTCTCTGTCCCCCGTCCTCGGCGTGAACCTCTAACCACATTTCCCACGGAGGGGGCTGATTTAAAGACAGCCTTGAGGGCATAAGATGCCATGGAGATGGACAAGCCTCTTGAAACCTCTCTGTCAATGGTTACCGTTCTGGAGTCGGATGTGGACAGGCCTATAGGTGAGTCCCCTTGCCAAATGATGCCGTGCCTGGTGATGTCTCTTCCCTCTACCCTGGGCGTTAACTGGTGTCCCATGTACACTGGACACCAGCATCCTTCCAGCCTCACCGAGTCCCCACACACGTATATCTATTTATAAGTCACTTACACTACTGGTTTTCCGACATTTAACATATATTACATACAGGGCCTCCCCGGTGGCGCAGCGGTTGAGCGCTGGGTTGCGAAGCTGCCCGCAGCCTCTGCAGCTCTGGTTCGATCCCTGACTGCTCCACGGCCACCAGAGGAGGATCCCACATGGGGCGCAGACCTCTCCTACCGCCCGCTGCTCCCCTCAGCAGTGTACTTCGGTCCCTCTGCCTGTTCTGCTCCCCGCTCTGGCTCTGGTGAATTCTCTCACCCTCCCGCGCTTCTGACTGTACCCAGTGCTTGTATAAATAAATAAATAAATCTTAAAAAATAATAATAATAATTGAAGGCAGAAGTATTTAAAAAAATCTTTAAAAAACATATATTACAAATCATATAGAAAAATGCAAACATTTTAAAAATACAAATATTAATTTTTATATAAATGATGTTGATATCTTGATAACTAGTGGTTTCAGATGATCACATTGCTAGTAGTTTAGGATTCCATTTATATTTGGTGTAAATTTTGTCATTAAGAGGAAGTAATATTTAAAATAGTCACCTTGATATTATATTTGTATTGACCTCTTAGCAGATCTAGTGGGATGGGCTTTGTGTTTACCTCCCAAAGTGACCGGTAGGAAAAACGGTCTGCCATGCCACTTTTTACTGTTCGCTTGTGTTTATGTTGTCAGTATTACTCCACCCTCTCTTTCTTTGGTGGGGTAATTTAAAGAAATTTTGTGAGGTTAGATATTTGTAAATCCACTTACCAGACATCACAGGCACATGAATGGGAGTGAATGCAGATCAAATTCCACCTCCTCTCTAAGTGACAGACCAGGGAGAAGCTTCCTGGCACCATTAAGACAGCTTGATAATTTCCTTTTAAAATTAAAATAATAATAATAAATGTAACTGGAATTCTGATCTTGTTTGATCACCTTGGCCAACCCAAGGACACCTCACCAGACTTCAGAGAACCACTGTTCTGACAAGGTCCTGGAGGTAAGGGCCAGGTTTTCTTCACTTCAACCAGAAAAACTCTCCCTTTTAACAATTATAAATAGAAACGATATTTTAAATGTTTTGCCTTATTATTTAACCCTATTAAGAGACCTATAAAA